GGATCTTTGTGTGGCTGGATGGCGTACATCTTGTATAGTTTAGTTTTGGTTTTTGGTTTATGTATTTTTGGGCTTGTATAAATATTTGGAATTGAATCAGATGTAAATCTATATTTTACGCTTAGAATTGGTTTCCGCTTCGCTTAAAATATGTAATTTTGGAGAATTGGATGTATTATTTGAGTTGTACCTTGTAATTTACTTGAGGAATGTAGTAAGTGAGTGAGTCCCGGCGAGAGCTGGGCAGGCGGCCCGCTAAACCCTCTGGTACACCTTAGGGGGAGGTGGGGTCGTTACACAAAACCTCAGCACGAAGACTAGAAGCTTCCCCCAAGTATGCCGAAAAAGCAACCAGTAGTTGCCCATCGGAGCCTCTAAGTATGCCGCCTCCACCACTCGCTCCCGGGTTTCCCTTAGAACAGCCATCCGTATTGAGCACCATATCTACTGGACCCCCTGCCCTCCACCGTACAACTGTGACCTCATACCGATCAGTCGATTGAGCTACCCTCTCATAGAGCAGCGGGAAATCGCTCACTTGGACGGTCATGCTGAACTGAATCTCAAATGCCGATTGAACATCGTGGAAGACCGCCCCACAGACCTCCTTCGCACGAACTCTAGTCCCCTCAAAAATCGCTCTACACCTCGCCTTCCAAATGTTCCAGCAGATAAAAACTGGAACAATGTCATATACAAATCTCTGCTTTCCCTTTGGAGAAGGTGACATCCACCAATCAAACAAATGCGCTCGGAGGCTATCGAATGACCAGCCAATACCACATACGTTCTTAAAATACGCCCAGATCTCCACCGCAAGCTGTCCTGTAGAAAACACATGCTCCAGTGTCTCTCCTGAGGCAGGCACACAACAGAAGCACTTTGACGCCAACTGGAATCCCATCTCCCCTAAGACGTCATCCAAAGGCAGTCGCCTCATGAGCAAGCGTAGCATGAACAAGGACACTCTCACAGGTATTCTAGCATGCCATATGCGAGAAAACACCAATGACCTGTTGCGACCTTGGCGGACCTCCTGAAAAGCTGATGCCAAAGTGAAGAGCCATGACTGCGTCAATCTCCAGACCACTTGATCTGTCCCCCTTCCACTCAAAGCCGGCGATTGCATCACCTCATCCACAATGTGAAGCGGCAGAATCTGTGACAGCCGACAATTATCCCAGGTACCATTGACCATAACATCGGAAAACGATAAGCCCGGAGCCACCGATGCTCTGAGAAAAAGAGGCCCACTCCCCAACCAATTATCAAACCAAAAATCACATGTCCCATCGTTAAGCAGCCATACTATGCACAATTCCGTCTGGCGACTCACATTGACCATACGTCTCCAAGTTGGTGAAGCAGTCTGAGATCTACCCACCTGAGAAGGATGAGCCCCTTTACAGTACTTTGCCCGCATGAATGTTGCCCAGAGAGATGACCCAGTGCGCAAACCCCACCAAAGCTTACAAGAAAAAGCATTATACACATCGCGAACCCGCCGGAAACCAGCGCCACCTTCCTCCACCGGATAACAGAGTTGAGACCACCGAATCCAGTGATGCTTAATCTGCTCACTGGAGGTCCCCCATAAAAAATTTGCACAGACTCGCTCAATACTCTTGAATGTAGCCAGTGGCATAACTGCAGCAGATAGAAGGTGCGTCGGAATCGACGATAAGACATGCTTGATTAGCACTAACCTGCCTCCAGGCGACAAAAATTTAGACCGCCAAGAGAGAACCCTTGCTGAGATAGCATGACACACCTCCCCAAAATACACGGATTTGCACTTGCCAATGTACAACGGGAAACCCAGGTACCGGACCGGAAAGTGCTGCCTTGAGAAGCCCGTAATTCGCTCAACCACCCTCCGCCTAGCGAGCGACATTGACGGGTGCACTAAGTATCCACTCTTCTGAACACTCACCAACTGGCCAGAGGCCAATTGATACATCTCCAAAACCCGCATAACATCCTTCAAAGATCTAGAAGAGCCATTAGCAAATATTATTACATCATCCGCAAAGGCTAGATGGGTGACTGGCGGACAACCCCTGGGTACCGTGAATCCCAAGAATCCCGCCTGTGCAGCAAGACTATTAAGCCCCCGGGATAACACCTCCGCTCCAATTACGAATAATGCTGGCGACAGCGGATCTCCCTGCCGGACCCCACGACTCGACTTGAAAAAACCATATGATGCCCCATTAATGATGACCGAGAACCAAACATTCGACATTAACCTCCAAACCATGTCAATGAATCTCTCACCAAATCCAAATTTGCGCAATACACTGACAATGAATATCCACGAGACACGATCATATACCTTTGCCATGTCAAGTTTTAATGCGACATTTCCCCCCCTCGCCTTATTCCTAATCCCTGATATCAACTCCTGAGCAAGGAGATAATTCTCTGTTATATTCCTGCCATTGACAAACCCTGTCTGCTGTGGAGACACAATCTTGGGCAGTATACATGCTAACCTATCCGCCAGAATTCTAGACACCACCTTGTTGAAAAAATTGCACAAACTAATCGGCCTATACTTAGAAAAGTCCTGGGGGCTTGGCACCTTGGGAATTAAAACGATAGATGTGGATGTTACAAAACGAGGCAACTCCGCCCCACAAAAGAAACTCAATACCGCATTATAGACATCCTGCGCAATAACATCCCATGCAAAAGTAAAAAACTGACCTGTGAAGCCATCAGGTCCTGCAGCACTATCCCCATCCATCTCAAATACCACCCGTTTCACCTCCTCCCTAGTTGGGTCAGCCTCAAGGGCTGCCCTATCTGCCTGTGTCACCATATTAGGGATCAAGTGCTCCCAATCACCAGCTGGCTTGCCAGAACTCGAGAACAAATCCGAGAAGAACCGCACAGCCTCATTGGCGATCCCCTCTTCATCTTCAACCCATACGCCATTCTCATCCTTCACTCTATGGATAGCACTCTGCACCCTCCGTTGCTGAACCGTTGCATGAAAATATCGTGAGTTTCGATCACCGTATCGAAGCCACTTTACTCTAGCCTTCTGACTCCAAAACTTTTCTTCATTTAGCAACGCGTGTCGTAGCTCAGCTTGAGCTTTACTTAGCTCAACCTGCGCCTCCATCGAATCATCCAGCTCCATACGGTTTTCTACTGCCAGCACATTCGCTTTCGACCTCTTAACAACCTCAAACACATTTCCAAAAACACCCTTGTTCCAGTCCTGGATGGCCCGCCTAGTACGCATTAGCTTGGAGCACAATACCTTTAACGGGGATCCAGAGCTCTCTACTTGCCAAGCCTGGCGAATTACCTCCAATAGCCATGGATTCGATGTCCAAACGTTTAAAAACCGAAATGCCCTAGGCTTGTTATTCATTCGCGACGCCAACGAGATCTGCAGTGGCGCATGATCTGATGGATGTCGGGCCAAGTGGACCACCGAGATTGACGGGGTACTCTCAGCAAATTCGCCATTGATTAACACCCTGTCCAGTCTCTTCCAGATTCATGCTTGTCCTCTCCGGTTATTACACCAAGTGAAACTGGACCCCGAGAACCCTGCATCAAACACTTCGGCATCCTCCATGAATGCCAGTAACTCCAACCCCTCAGATCTTGCGAAGGGCCGACCTCCACGCTTCTCACTCGGGTCCGCAATGACATTGAAATCCCCGCACACACACCACGACCGTGAGGTGGGCTTATCGGCCAGTAGATCGTGCCACAACACCCTCCGCTCCTCCACAGTACATTTAGCATGCACAAACGAAAAGCACAGAGACCCATCCAGCCAGGGATGTTGGACCGCTATGGAGACGTGCTGTGACGAACTACCTACTATAGAACATACTAATGGAGTACTAAAAAATACCCATATATCAGCCGACAGGTTCACAATTACCGAATCAAATGGCAATCTTAATTTAATTAAATTAATTTGCGAAACATCCAGTTTGGGCTCACATATTGCAACAAACATTAAATTGTGCAAACGAATTAACTTAACCAATCGTCGTAAGTTGGGAGGTTTCGCAACCCCTCTTATATTCCAAAAGAGACCATTAATCATGAGATAAAGGTTGAAATGAATTTTGAGAGTGCATTACCGCAGACCGAAGCTGCCTGGCCGACGGGCCCGGAACCCGTACCCCTTTCTTTTTTGTTTGCTTGTTGCCGTGATCCATCACTCTGGACTGGTCTATATTCATCCTGAGCACGGTGTCTTCCATGCACGTGTGACGGCCTAACTCAAGACTATCCGTCGCCTCTTCCTCTTCCCCTTCACTTACTGATCCCCGAAGCTGCCCACGCAAATCAGTAGACTGCCGTTTCTGGTCCCTAGTTGCATCTCTTTGTGTTGGCCCAGCCACTGTTCCTTCAATCTCCAATTCTGCTACCTGACTGAGTTCGCAAGGGAGCTCTACCGTAAGTTCTCCAATCGCAGTAGCCGTCCGCGACTGCCCAGCTGCAGCCGCACCAGAACTGGTTTCTCCACGCTGCATGCGTGGGTCTTTACTTGCATCTTGCTCACTTTGTGTTGGCCCAGCCACTGTTCCTTCAATCGCCAACTCTGCAACCTGACTGGGTTCGCAAGGAAGCTCTACCGTGAGTTCTCCAATCTCAGTAGCCGTCCGCGACTGCCCAGCTGCAGCTGCACCAGCCCTGGCTTCTCCATTCTGCATGCGTGGTACTGGACCTACGCATAAATTGTCATCAGGTTCCCGTATCTCCTTCTGGGCCACCATCGCCTGCATCTCCGGGTCAGCCGGCTGCCGCGCTTGATCCTTTCTCTGGGTCACCTCCGACAACAGTGGTGGCAACCCTTTATCATTGCCGTTGTCCTTTTCGCTGCCCACTTCCTCCCCGCAAGACTGACCGGCTGTGGTCGCCACCATCTCAGAGTCGGGAGTGCGCAACAGCTGGTTCAGTTCCAACCCTGTCTCCACCAGTGATTTGTCCGTAGCCTTCCCCTTCCCATCCGAATTGCCCAACTATTCTCCGCCTGGAGTTGGGTTTGTTGGTCCCTCGCCGTTGTCCCGTCCTTCACCCAGAGCTATCTGCCGTGGCTCTGATTCCTTGCCCTTCCGGCGTGGGTTTTCTCGGTTGCTTCCAGATGGTTTCAAGCCCGGGTTCTTCTTGAAGCAATCACCCTCCAGATGACCCACACGATCACAGAACTTGCAGAATGCTGGCCAGTTCTCCACCTCCACCGCTTGCCAAAATCCATAGTCATCATCCCCTATGTAAATTCGCTTTACCGGCTCTTTGGATACATCCATCTCCACTAGAACTCTTGCCACAGACGGCCTGCGCAAATCTGAGGTTGCCGAATCCACCTTGAGGACACGCCCAAGCGTGGCCGCCAGTTTGAAAATCTGGTTTTTCCCAAAGAAAGGGATTGGCAGCCCCAGAAACGCAACCCAGATCGGAACAACCGAAGGCTCCTGGTTACTCTTGAAGTCAAGCGTCCATTTTGCTACAACCATTGGTGCGTTTTTGACGAACCATGTTCTGCGCAGAAACAACCTGGTGTAGTCTTCTTCCAGAACTGGTCTGATGAGAATGTGACGTTGGTCCAGCAAACCCACGGCACACTCCCCCTTTAGGCCGAGGGAAACAAAGAATTTGCGCACAGCTTCCATTGAGGGCCTAATAGACGGGAACCTCCCCACCAGAGCATTCCGGTAAGGTGCAGCCAAGGTCTGCATCTCCTGCCGTGAGAGACGCAGTGCAGGTTCCCCACGGTAGAGAGAAATTTCACCGATGCCTTCATCGACTATCGCCGCAGCTGATCTTGCCGCCACAACCGCCGCGAAGCTCCTGCCATTGCCGTCACCCAGATCCGGCGGCTTAGGAGCCGCCATGCCAGGGTTAAGAGTTTTCCGTAAGGGTTTCAGAGGGTCTTGTTTTTCGGAAGCAAAAATAATTGAAGGATGGATAGATTTACCTGATTGCCTAATGAGGTGTTATATGAAATTCAATTTTGCTGATGCCTCTTTCTTGTAACAATGATCTATTTCAATCATCCAAATCATTTCAAGATTAATTGTAGCCTTTGAACTTTTGTAACATGTTAATTATGCTACAGAACAGAAAACCAATAAATAAAAAATTTCCCCTCTTTGCTGACACAATACAATTATGCAAGATCATCTAGGGTGTATGGTATCCATTACTCCTGCTAGTATGTGATGTCAGTACTGTTTTACTTTGAACCCTGATTTGAGTTGTATTTGCAGAAAATTACGAATCATTTTATAGAAAAGGATACTAAATCGCAGACTTTACCTAGTTAACAGCTGTGCTCCTTGAAGGAATAGCTGCATACTTTTCATTTACAACCTCAATAAGCTTGTTTGCTCGCGTATGTGAATGCACTTCGCAACCTTTGAAAATCGGTAAGATAGGTACTAAAATATTACTCATACTCTCATAATTAAAGGAAATGAGGCAAGAGTTCACATAAGCTAAATCAAATATAAGAACATTTGATTTCTATGAACACCTTTGAATTGAATAAAAAGCTAGAAGTAATCGCCAATGACGCCACCAACAGCATGCTGGAGATCAAGCTCATGCATCAAGGGCATTTAAGACATGAAGCAGACCAATGTTTTAAAACCCAGCCCGGACTGGTTGGTCGAACCGGTTGAACCATTGACCGGCCTTCTTTCCGGTCTAGATTTGTTTAAAAAACCAATTTGTTTCAATTTTCATTTAAACTAGTTGAACCGTTCGGTTCAACCATTGAACCATTGACCCGAAATAGTTTTGTGAGAACCGATCGGTTCAATATCCAACCTTAATTAAGTTAAAAATTTTGAATTTGGTCAACTAATCTCATTAATAATATTCCACATTTAATATGTCACCAATTACCCATGCATAATTATCTCCAACTAATTAGACAATAACAATCATTGCCTTATTCTCCTTATTTGTCTCTTTCTTCCATAATTACACATAGCTCTTGTTTAAGATTTATAACATATAATTGACTATATTAGTTTTTTTAAATCTTGAATGCATTTCATTTATTTGTTAATGTCTTTTAAGTGTTTCAATTTTTATCATATGAACTAGTACTTATATAATTCAGGAAAATTAATAATATATGAAATAATAGTATACCACAGGGGTTTTTTTGTTTTTAACCCTTTTTTAATTTAAACTCATGGCCTAGACTCTTCAAAGTTGCATTTTGATCATTTGAGAAACATTTTGGGTGAAATTTTTGAGGGATTTTGCATCATTTTCATCACAAAGCATCACTCTAGCAATTGGAGGTACATCTATTCAACTTAATTTGGTAGTTTAAATTTTGTCATTTGAGCATTTATTGAATTTCTTAGCTCTAAATTTCAAATGATAAATATGTGATGATATTTATTGATATTTGTGAGTTCATTTATGCTCATTTAGCATTTTTAAACATATTTGTATGATCAAATGTGGAAATATGATGATATGTGCAATGTTTAAATTTTGTGCATATTCCTATATTTTGATCAATGTAAAAATTAATCTTGGAATGTTGATGAGCATGATTGTATGATAGAAATAGCCTTAATATGACTTGTTAGCGATATTATGAGTATCATTTCATAAATGTGTCATTTTGGAGACAATTTGCATTTTAGAAATTAGAAAATGGCTAGTTTAACTAGTTTGAGAAATGATGCATTTGCATTTTTGTTTAGGTGTTATAATGGACCATGCTCTTGTATAGTCTTCATATGGAATATGTTTGTATAATAAATATTGAATATTTGAAGAATTGAGCAATTTTCGTGAACTTAGGAGCTTAAATTAAATATGTGCATAGATATGCTTTCCTAAAAAGCAAAAATTATAATCATATAATAGCAATTTTCAAGTTAATTGAGGAATGAATTTTGCAAGTCACATATATCTATGTCAAAGTAAAAGCAATTTGAGTTACTAATAGTGTGGAATATACTGCTCTTTTAGTTAAAATGAAAAATTTTCAAAAAATTTCGAGGCAATTAGGATACTTGGTCATTAGAATGTGAGAATTGAACTTTGATGTCTTTTAAGAATTGTAGAACATTGTCTTAACTTCAAAATGAATGGAGAATTATCTCAATCTGATCTTTATAGCTCAAGTTATGGCCAAATTACCAAAATGCATGATGTCCTCCAATCTTTCCTCTTTTTGTTTCTTCATTATATCATCACTTGTAATTTCATGTCAACTTCAAATTAACTTCAAATCGTCAAGTTTTATACAAACATTTCATGTGTAACTTCATTTCGTGATTGAAACATTAAAATCTACAAAACATGAAATTTACACCACTCAGTGCCATAAAAATGCAAGTTTTGACTATAAACCTAATTATTTAGCTCTAAATTAACTAAAAATACTCTAAAACACACATAAATAACCATACAAAAGTAGATAGAAAACACTTATCACCCTTAGCTCAAGAAAACAAAAGGATGATCCCATTTTTAAGGCAAAGGAGGTACCTAAGAAGCAAGGTGAGATGGACTGTAATGGTGAAAGTGAGGATACTGGAGATATGGTGCATGGTTCAGGTACAAAGGATCATGGAGGTGATCACTCTATTAAGATGCTCGAGGTTATTAAGATGCTCGAGGTGAAAGTGTATGTGATGCTTATCCCCTTCCCACAGAGATTAGAGAAAAAGGCAACTTAGAGGCATTATCGAAAGTTTCTTGAGATGCTTAAAAAGTTTCAAATGAATATGCATTTTTCTGAAGTTCTTGCAAATATACCCGCATATGAAATTGAAGGACTTTGTAAGGGAGTTGCTCATCGAGGAGTGCAATGCAGTAATTCAGAATTGTCTTCCAATCAAGATGAAAGATTTAGAGAGTTTTACTATACGTTGTTATTTTTGTGACGACCCCACTTCTCCCAAGGGCGAACCCAAGGGTATCGGCGGGCCGCCTGCCTAGCTCGCGCCAGGACTCAAAACTTAAAGCAATAAAACTAGATAAATCGAAAGAGCACTATATACAATATATATACAATCCCAAAAGTTACATTTACATCCTCAAAAGTCTCGAGTCAAACCACTCTAATACACTATAACCACAACCAGCAGAAGATAGACCCTAAGAAGGGTCCTTATACAAACCACCAAAACAAAAACAAACATCCTAACTGTTCAACTATTACAAGCCAATCTAACTATACTAGTATACGAGCCAAAGGTCCCCGCGTCGGCCCCTGCTAAGGAAAACAAAAGGAAAGGGGTAAGCTATATGCTTAGTAAGTAAACAGGGGCGAAAGCATAAATTTCACGTAACAGCAGTTACACAGTAAGAGTAAAGCAAAAGCAGAAAAGTAACATCACATAATAAGGATACAGGTGGCTCCAAAGCCAATTTATATGCCATGCGTGATCTCCTGCCGACACTCCGTCGACCACACTCAATGGTCCGTAGAACTTCACTTGTACACCCACCGACACCTTATCACCCTCACTGGCCAGTCACCTCACAAACTTGCCCGGGCGAACGAAATCACAAACTTGAGCTTGAGTCACAAGCTCGAGTCACAAACTTGGTCACCTTCTCGGTGAACCGGATTCACAAAATTGGTTCATAACATGAACCTACAAACTTGGTGACCTCAGACTAAGTTGGACTGACTTCGACCAAGCCCTAACCGGCTCGAATAGTCCAAACAGGTCTTAGATCGGGCCCACGAACTCACAAACTTTGCAAACTTCACAAACTTTACTCGAAAGTCCCCCCCGAGCCACAAGCTCAAGGGTTTTGGTTCCAAAATGTTCATATACATATGCCAAGTACAATTATACATTCAAATTAGGGTTTAGGTCGAGTGCGATAAAGTACACCCTCGCCTAAGTACCCTTTTCACATATCTCAAACACATAGCAAAGAAAACACACCAAACTGGCCTGAATACTTACTCAGAATCTGAAATAGCAAAAACACGAAGTCGGATCGAAATGAACAGCTAGTAGTGGGCCCCACCAGTTCCGCCCAGCTCACCACCGTCTGACATAGAAGATTGTGTCACATAATATCGTAAACGACTACTATCGTGCCTAAAACAAGCAAAACGGCAAAATGACACGCGCGCACGTAAATATGACGGACGGAAACGGAAACGGCCGTTAGCGGAAACGGCAGACTTGACACTCATTTCTAGTTTACTCATAAGTTGAGCTACGAATATCGGATTAAGGCGTATGAGATGCCATATCGAAACTTAAAGGATGAACAACAACTGTTATGAAGACATCCAGAACTGAAACTGGAGGCTTCAGTCCCAAATGAACCAAACACAATCACTTACGAAATCTGGCCAATGCACAAATGGTCAGTTTTGATTGCAAACTGTTTTCTATGCTACACATGGTCAAAAGAGCTGAAAATTGGTAGTTAGATGGTTCATTCCAAATGGAACAACTTTCATGAAGGTTGGCAATCCAAATTCGGAACGGAAATTGGTCATCAGGACCAAAACAGATCTGACCAGAAAATGGTCATTTCCACGGGCAGGCCTTGTTTGCTCGGCTATATCTCAGGTTTTATAAATCCGATTCATGAAATTCCAAGGGCGTTAGAAAGCTCTGATATAGGGCTATAAGTTTGGTGTTTTGGTCGCAAGCCCAAACAGCTTGTAACCCAGTCAAATGTGAAGCCAAAGTTCCAGTCGTAAACTGTCCGGATATAAGAACAGTCCTGACATGAATTCTTATTTCGATCATAACTAGAGCTACGGAACTCGGATTTTGACGCACTTTATAGCGTTTCGAAGCTATGACCAAGATCTACATTTCTTATGACAGAGTCAACACCCAGATCGTACTCTATCAAAATCGAAAAAGTCACAGTCAGA